TCTCTTTAGCAATTTCCCCTTACTTTATCTCAAAAGTCAATAACAATTTATTATCTGCAGCAACAATAATCGTTCGTTTCCTAGGTCGTTTCCTTTGTAATTTTTATTATTATGATTTCTTTGAGTGCCATTTGCAGTTTATTAAACGTCAGAGCCGCGTGTATGAATACCATTGTTTGTAAGTGATTTGTTATCTTAACACATTAAGCTTGTCGCCTACTTGTCCGGCACAGGACAGCATGGCGCTGTCCGTCGCGTCGCCTGATGGCGACGGATAGTAACATCGCCCACTTGTCCAGCTACCACCAGCATACTGAAGGTGCTGTTTGTTCGATTTCAAGGGAATTTCAGTTGACATCGAGCGATGACAGAAATATGTCTTTCACTAGCAGTTCTGACGAAGAAGTTGTCATTACAGGGTGTTAATTGAGTATATAATTATAAATAATTGAGTATAAATTTAACAGACGATTCTTCAGGTAATTTTAAGACGAAATGTTCATTAAACATGGGTCCGCAAATCCTTCGTTCTCAAGATACAGGGTGTTTAAATAAAAAAAAAGTTATGAATATCTTAAATAATCTTTACCTAATTTTGTTGTAATTTGGCAATGGTATTTATAACATTAAGGAGCTAATTTAGCCCGAACGTGATTCAATTTATCAAGTTCAGTGGCGTCTCGAGTGGGATTTGAACGAATATTTTTGACTTAAAAATGTACGTCACTGACTTTTGTGCAATTTTTATTATTTCTTTGGATTAAGCATCTTGCTTAGTTTTTAAGAAAAAAAAAGTCGACCTAATTGCATATCCCTGGACCTCACAAGGACTAATATGGAGAATTGAATGTTTCTTTTGGAAATCATTATTTTTACAATTTTTCATTACTAATTATGTAACAATAACAAAACAAATATTAAATAACATCAACACCTAGACTAACGAATTGCACTAAATTAAGTATTGGAAATGGCCTCCTTCGGCTTCAATACAACCGTCTAGCCGCCGCATCATTGAATTTCGCACTCTTCTGAAAATACCTGGCGTATTTTTTATTATGTCACATGAATTAATGATTTTATTCCGTGAATCCTCTTCACTTTGAATAGCAGTTTTGTATACCAACGCTTTAAGATGTCCCCAGAGAAAATAATCTAAGGGATTCATTTCGGGCGAGCGAGGTGACCATGGGTGTGGGCCTGCTTTCCCAATCCAGCGATTATGGTAATTTTCATCCAAAAATTGCCGTCCACTACCCTAAGGTGTCGTGAAGCACCATCGTGCATGTACCACATACGGAATCTTTCCATGACTGGAGTTTCTTCTAAAAGTCCAGATAAAACAAATTCTAAAAACCTTCGGTATTCTTCTCCATTGAGTCAAATATTAAAAGAAAACTGTTCTTGAAAATGATTTTCTATCAAGGCGTGTGGATTGTTTTTGGCCCAAATGGGATTGTTGTGGAAGTTAATAATTAAATTGCGAGAAAAACAAGCTTCATCTGTGAACAATATTCGACTTAGAAAACGTGGATTTCTTCTTATTTTACCGCATAACCAATTAGAAAAAGCTAGTCTTACAGGCAAATCTCGAGGCAATAGAGCTTGCACACGTTGCATGTGATAGGGATATAGCTGCTGGGCTCTTAAAATCTGCCACACTGTGACACGGGTAATATTCAGTTTCAGTACCAAATTGGATAACATTATAGAAAATACACACACTTCATTCATGAATTACGATTTTTAATGTCACAGAATAAGCTTGATCTGCTTATGTCATCATCGATGACATCGTAATGACATTCATTCACCTATTTGATTTATAATACGTATAAGTGACAAATACGTGGTGACCTAAAAGTCATAGGTCATGTGACTATTACTAGGTCTTCAGGGCAGATTTACGAATTTTTGCTGTTTTCTTTGCCTTTGGAACAGTAGGGCAACACAAAATCATTATCAAGTGAAAGAATGGCCTCCGAGAGATAAATATATTTGTAAAAGCATTAGACAAAGTAGGTAATGCGTTCAAATACCTTTAACACGTTTTTCAAAAATTAAGTGATGCAAAGCTCAAAAGATGGTATATTTGTTGGACCACAAATTAGAAAAGTACTAAGTGAGCAACAGTTTGATCAAAAATTAAGTAATATTGAATTCTTTCAAAAGAATTGTTTCGGAGTTTTTAGGGAACAAGAAAGTACAAAATTACGAGACACTTGTAGAAGAATTACTTGAAAACTACTGCAGAATGGGATGTCGCATGTCTCTCAAAATCCATTTCTTGCACTCCCATTTGAATTTTTTCCAGAAAATTTAGGTACTGTCAGTGACGAACGAGGGGAAAGGTTCCACCAAGACATACTGACAATGGAGCAACGTTACCAAGGCAGATGGGATGCAGCAATGATGGGGGATTATTGTTGGTTCCTTATGAGGGAAAACGATGAAACATATAAAGTCAACATTTGCAAAAAGATTACGCACAAAAGACTTCATTTGAATGATTTTCCATGTGTATTGTAAATAAAGTCTGTTATCCTCAACATATATTGTTTTTTTTCTTGTTTTAATCTTATATTTCCCTATAATATGTGAAAACGTTTGTATAAAATAAAAATAACCATAAGTCAAAATATTTACTCATTTATTGGCTAGTGAAATCATTTCAAAGCAGTCACTAGTTTTCAACAGTCATCTAGTAATTTAACACAGAGGAAAAAGATTAATTTAATTTAAGAACGTAAGCAGTCAATCAATTTCATCAATTCAATAAACAGGTGACCCCCTTTCATTCGTTACCCATCTTTTAAACAATTCAGTCGGAAAATAAGAAGAATTTCAAACCGTTGTTAATGCTAAAACATGAGAGATGTTATGAACTCTGCACGAAACGGTTGAACTAGAAAGAGAAAACAGAAACATTCTGTATACAACTGTAAACGATCAGGCTAAGGATTATTTTAAGCAATTTATTTTGCATAATAGGGACGTTCATGGTTATTATAGCAGATATTGAGGTAATCTTTATATTCGAAAACAAATTGCAGAAATACCATGAAACCATTATTATACATGAAGTGGTTACACGAGTAGCCACAGTAAAATCACTATTCTCAGATGCTTTTTTAAAAATGCATTATACAGGGTGTTTTCTAACTACGGTACAAAACTTCAGAGGGTAATTCGTTAGGTCGTTTTAAGAAAAAAAGTTCTCATGAACATATGTCTGAAGTTGCTTAGTTTCTGACATAAAGGGCATTAAAGTTAAAAAAAGTATTTATAAAAATCATTAATATCCTTACACCGATTTGCTTGAAATTTGCTACAGTTATTTGAAGTGATAAGGCGCTTATTTAGCCCTAGATTGAAATTATTAGGTCCAGTGGAGTCTCAGTCGGCACCACAGCTGATTTGTTGTTGTTTTTTTAGATTATTCAACTTGTAGTTTGTGTTCTCTTCATATCTATATTCATTTTCGAGAAAAAAATGTAAGCCACTTTGTACATCATGAACACCTGCTTTGAAGATCAGCTGACAGAAAATGTGTTGTCATATCAGTGAGTTGCCAATTAGCAGGGATTTCATCAAGAATAACAATTTTAATGAAATGGCTGACATCCCATATATTTCTGGATTGGCAAATGGAAATGCGGAAGAAGCACGGAGAATTTACCAGTACGAAAAACTTAAGAAAGTAATTCCATGTACTAAAACATTCAGAACGCTACATGCAAGATTATGTGAAACTGGTAGTTTTAATACAAATTCAGGTGGTGAAGGACCAAAAACTGTAATAACGTCTGAACTAGAAGAAGCTATACTTGATGCAATAAAAGAAGATCCTTCAAATAGTACCAGCTGGAAGTTAGCCCAAAAACCGTATGGACAGTTCCAAAATAAAACATCCAATACTCATATCACATATAGCGGGTCCAAGCCCTATTGTCTCGGGATTTTCACCCAAGAATAATGTTTTGCAGGTGGTTGATTCATACGATGACACATAATAATAATTTTTAAAGAAAGTCATTTTCAGCAACAATTGTCTCTGAACGTTTGGGTATGAATGGGCGAATTTGCCCATTTTTTCTACCAGCAATATCAACAGGTGAATCCTACACGAATCATTCACCCATTTTGTTAGAAGTGCCGGTACTTGTAAGAGGCAACATGTGGTTTATGCAGTTAATTTTAGTGTTCTTGCTTGTCAACATTTCGACATCCCCTACCCTATTTGCTGGATTGGATGTGTAGAACCTCAAAATTGGCCAGCTCGCAGTCCTGATATGAATCTTCTAGATTTCTATTTATGGGGTCTTCTGAATGCTGTTTTTCATAGAACTTCTGTACTTGAATGACTTGAGGAATCGAATAATTGGTAAATTGCAATGTCAAAAGGAATACTTCAGGTATTTTTGAATGTGTCAAACAATCAATGACAAATAGATTGCAGTCGTGTATTTTATCAGAAGATGGGCATTTTGCTCATTTACTTATTTACTTTTGGTTTTTATTTGTCCATGGGTAGTTTTAAAAGTGATTGAAAATACAAGCGACGAAAAAGTTGTATTTTCAGTTGCGTAATCTGAAAAAATGAGAAACTACAATAAAGTGGCGCTCTTTTTTTCTCAATAGTGTTGACTGTGGTGCCCACTGAGACGCCACTGGACCTAATAATTTCAATCTTGTTCAAATTTCAACCAAATCGATGTGAAATTATTATTTATTGTATAAATACCGTTTTTTTTTTAATTCAACACCCTGTATCTCAGAAACGAAGCAACTCTCGATGTATGAAAATATTCATTCTAGGTATAGGTGTACTTAGGAGGATTTGCACCCTGTCGTTTTTGCAAGCTTTAGCCAAAATATCAATTGGGTATATTTCTGAAAATACATTACGTTAATTTGAAAATATCGACCTTTTTTTGATAAATGGTAACTAATAATTAACTTCAAGTGATTCTCCCAAACCTCCAACTATCATTTAACAATAATTCTGGTATACCTTCGAAGATGTTTCTTTTCGTGATTCGGGAGCGTCCGAATCCCATTCAGAACTCAAATCGTCACTAGATGGATCCCCATAATCGATGCAAATGGGAACCTCCAACAAACTCCTTTGATACTGCTCATACCCGCTGGCCGAACCTCTTCTAGATCCGAAAACAGGACTTGATGGGCTAGTACTCCTTCTGAAACTGCTGCCTCGTCTTCCCAATCTAGGCGAAGTATCGGATGATGGGGACGGCGATCTTGAAGGTGACCGATTAGGGTACAGGGTATTTTCTGAAATATTTTGAAACTGCTGAAGTCGTTACGGTGACGTTTACGTGGGATTTTTGATGCTCAAAAGAAAAAGAAAGGTTATCCCTTCCCCCAGATTGAAACAATGCTTCAAGAAATTATTACTCTGTCCATTTCTTCCGCTGAAGAAGATAATGTGCCCTCTTTCCCATTGAAGACTTGGAAGATAATAATTACCTCTCGCATGGAATTGAACCGCGAGGACTGAGAATATTTTTTGATAACAGCTAGCTTGAAAATGAAATTGATACGTTTTTTTACCATATTATTTCGTGGAAGGGGGGGTTTTCAAATGAATACTTTATATATTAAGTTCAGTCTTAATATAAGTATTCTATATTTTAATATTTTATTGATAGTTCTAAATAATCACATTTGTGGTATCGAAAAGAATCAAACAAAAACAAAATGAAGTACTTAATAATGGGGTACCAGTTATAGGAAACAATCTAATGACTTAACTTATATGGTAGTGTTACTTCTTGCTAGCAAAAAAGAGTTTACATGAAATAAAAACAAATAAAAAAATGCATAATGATAAAGACAAAAAGTGGAGAGAAGACACCACAAAAATTAAATAGTCAAGGCATAGAATTGAATTCATGAATTCATGAAAAGTGGGTTCCTGAGAATGAAGAGACATGAAAAAATTAATATAATTTTGAAATTGTTAATGAAGCAACATGATTGTACTCGTATTGAGAATGCTGACAAAACGCTACTGTTGAAATTATCAAATACATAAACGTAAAAATTAAAAAAACGCAATCTCAAAGCCAACATGCAAGTTTTCGAAACTCTATGCGACATTGAATATTTACCATAATTTTTGTGCCACTGTCGCGAACCCCCAATTAATATGTCACCTTCTTTCCAACTAGATTTTAAACATTCTCGCACGTGGAGATAATCTATAAAAGGTATACGAATTCATCAAAAATTAAATATTTCACAATAAACCATTCATTAGTATCATTTAAAAATTTGTGAGTGCTTGTGGACGAAAGAAAAACCAACACAAAAATTGGACTCGAATGGGTAGGGTGAAAGTAATACTTCACAATTTACACAACACCAACATTCAATGCTAACAGTTGTTTCGGCACATTGTGTCATCTTCTAAGCGAGTTATAGTAAAATGTTAGTGTTGTGTAAATTCTGAAGTATTATTTTCACCCTTCCCATTCAATTGAAATGAATTTACACATATTCTGAATGTATAAAACACTCTAATTTAACTTTTCATTAGATAATATGATATAATTGAGGTCGGTTTTTTATCGATCTTTGTTGAGAAAAGATATGGATAGTGACGAAATGGCAACATTGGCATATTTCTCTTTCACGAGTTTGTCCTTTCAAGATCTGTATAGAATAAGAATACTCCATTACAATTTTTGATTTTTTCAGAATGTTGAAGGTGAAAATCTCCAGAAAAATGGTTAAAAATATCAAAATTATATTCATTCATTGAATGTTGTAGATTAAACGTTACATCATGAACCAATGTAATCAATATTAAAATATAAGTGTTGATTTGAGTTCTATACTGCTTCAATCATGAAATTGTGGAACATCGAACTGTAAAAATAACAAAACAGAAGGATGAATAAGAGAATAACAATTAGATCACATATTTTTCTTTCAAAAATGTTCTGATATACACTTTTTGGTATGTACTCGGTATGTACTCGAGCTTTCTCAGCGAGTCGGTTTTTATCTCCTCAATCATCGCAAAACACCGTCCTTTCATGGGTCTCTTCGTACTTGGGAAAAACAAAAAGTCAAAGAGGGCGAAATGTGGTGAATACGGTGGCTACGTTATGTAGACTATCAAATGTATCGCTTGTTCATTTAAATATTTTGACATTTTCCAAAGGAGAATGCCTATTTCCGATTGAGCCGTTTATACACACATCGCTTAAATTCTTGGACCCAAAATTCTTTAGACGTTTGTCTAAATAAGACAATAGTATCATAAGACAAGAAGTGTATTAAGGAGTTACTAGACGGTCAATCATTTTGAACAAAAGCTTGAGTCAATCGATTGACTCAAGCGTGCTTGACCGTGTAGGAACCTCTTTGACACATGAAGCGAGGCTTCATGGTGATTAATAGAAATTTTGAATGACTCAAGCGGTTGAAGGAGGAGGTTGACCGTCTAGGACATTTTTCATCAAGCATTGCGTCAGTCACTAGGTAGAAACCATGGCGTCCGCTACGGAAAGTGAGCTTCCCAAAACTCTGAGCGGGAATTCATTAACCTGCTGATTCAATTATATCGCGATTGTCCGGAATTATGAAAAGTGAAGAGCAAGGACTATTACAACAGAAACAAGAAAACTGCATCATTACCATGTACCACTCCTTCGACCACCATCGTTTTTTTTCTGTTGGTTTTTCCGCTCGAGGGCAACCAATGCACATTGGCTAAATTTGATTTTAACTGAACAAAAAAACATACAAACGAAAAATAGTGCATAATAAAATGATAACCAGAGTCTGAAATTTAGAAGAAAACTATTTTAGAGTGAAATCAAAACTGCATTCATATTCACTGTGTCCTCCTCTGTTTTATAGTAAGGTGTTAACTCGCCAGTGCATGGAAACAATAAGGGCGTTAATGATATCCATTGGGATGTTGTTCCATTCTTCTTGGGCCGCGAGTGTGAGATCCGGAAGGGTGCTAGGAGAATCAATTCGGTTTGAGATTGCTTGTTCAACAAAATCCCACATGCGCTCAATGGGATTCATGTCTGGTGAATTTGCTGGCCACGGTAATCTTTGAATATTCTCAATCTCTAGTGCACTTTGTACTCTTCTTGTGCGATGGGGCCTAGCACTGTCATCCATGAAAATTAAATTGGCTCCAATTTCATTTCGGAGAGAATGAATAATGGGTTCAATAATGTATCCAACATATATATCCCCTGCCATACTATCTGTAATGGGAATAAGATGCGTACGACGACTATGCATTATACCTCCCCAAAACATTACTGATCCTCCTTTGTATGGAATGACTTCTCTAGCAAAAGATAGTCTTTCTCGTCGCCCTGGCCCTCTCCAAACTCTGTGTCGCCGACTATTACTAACTAAAATAAATCTGGTTTCGTCCGAAAAAAGGACATTTCGACACTGAGCTAAAATCCAGTCTCTGTGTTCCTGTGTTCACTGTAGACGAGCGGCTATGTGTCTGGGAAGTAGCTAGTTATATCAGGAACTGATAGTACACCGGTATAACATTACAGATGCATGTTCCCAGACCAGGTCGTTAGCCGATCCAGCTTGCTTACTCAGTATTGCGTCATATGCGAACTTATTTATACACCTTGTTTTATTATTCATGTCATTCAATTGTAGTTATTTGCCTTAAATGTACAAATAAAGTTTTTAAAAAGTCTCAAAGCAAATCCTTCGAAATAATTGGCGCAGTCGGTAGGATTTGCTTTGAGACTTTTTAAAAACTTTATTTGTACATTTAAGGCAAATAACTACAATTGAATGACATGAATAATAAAACAAGGTGTATAAATAAGTTCGCATATGACGCAATGCTGAGTAAGCAAGCTGGATTGGCTAACGACCTGGTCTGGGAACATGCATCTGTAATGTTATACCGGTGTACTATCAGTTCCTGATATAACTAGCTTGAGTACCCTTAATGGTCTTCTGGATTGCCAGCCAATTGGCTATAGTAAGTCTCCGCCGTATTGTGTACTGGTACGTTCTTCTTGAATGAGATCGGACTGCTGAGACTGCTATGGTTCGATTTCGACGTACATATCTTGCTAGATACAGATCTTCTCTTGCATTAGTTACCCTAGGACGCCCAGTTCCACATCTCCAGTCAACGCTGTTAGTTTCCTGGTACAAATGCACTATTCGCATAACTGAAGCGCAGGGAATCCTTAGTCTATTCGCGATTCGATGATTCGGCAGACCCTCATCATGCAAAGCCACTATTCTTGCTCTATAGAACACTGAAATTCTATTGCCAGGCAGAAGAACTCAACAATCACTTAAACACGCTAAATCGATATGAAACACTTTTTGAACATTGGTATCTAAAATTGGAGGAAATTGTTTTTGTAAACATTTTTGCGTGCCTAGCACAGGTGAAATTTAGCATTTAATTTACAATTTACAAGGGGTGTCCAAGAATTTTGGCGATATATAGAGTGGTCCAACGAAAAGTATGCACCTTGCTTTTCTCCTTTATTTGTAACTTAACGCAAAAATGCTCGGACACATCAATTTTGCTTTTGAGGGGGACACATTTTAGATGTATTTTTCTACCTGTGCCTTCAACCCCCTAGCGAGGGTGAGTAACAACCCTAAAATTTTAAATAGAAAGTGGGGTCGAGTGATATATCATTTGAAAGGGCACAAAATTCTCTTTCCAATGATACCTAATTTGTTGTATTTACTTGAATAGTTATAACAATAGTTATAACATTCACTCGATATTTTTGGTGTTAATAAAAATGCAGAAAAAACGGCATTTTCATCACTACTACATTCCTCAATTTCTCTCGTGCGTTTTTAGGTTCAAATAACAACAGTAGATAAGTGTACAAAAATAATTTAGGCAAACGTTCATTGATTCAGTTCGGTTGCTTTTGAAATTATTTCAACTTTACTGTAAAAATGGTTTATTCCATTCCTGAACGAGTTGAAATTGTTAAACTTTATTATCAACATAATAGTTGTGCTAGACTTACTGCTCGCCTCTTTAATAACAGTCATCCCGGGAAAACTGTGAATGATTCGTACGTTGCCAAGTTAGTCCAAAAGTTTGTCGATACCGGATCTGTCTGTAATGTGAAACACCAGCCACGGAAACCGATCAGAAATGAAGCAGTGGAAGTCGCTGTTTTGGGACATGTTGAATTGGATCATACTCAAACTACCCGTCAGCTTGCTGCAGCCTCAGGTGTCTCCCGTTCGTCCATAATACGGATATTAAAGTCTATAAATTT